GACTGCATGGCAGTCTCTCTACCTGGAGTTTCTCCTGTCTTTCTCCCCACTCTTAGAGCTTCGAGTCAGTGAGGTTCAGGTGGAAATAAGCCTGCAGCATTATTGCCCTATCTAATAAAGGGAAGAGCAGGGAAATGAGTGTGCAGGAGGGTTTTAGACCTGGAAAGCAAGCAGGGTGGAAAGGAGTAAGAAGTGGTCAAGTGGGAGCAGGGTGTTTAATCTAATGCTTTACTTTAATCAGCGGGCTGTCATCTCTCTCTATCTCCTTTCATCAGGTCTGTCCAAACGGCAGGCAAAGTGACACCGATTTTTGTGTGCTCAGCACAGTAATTGCCTCCTATCCATGCAGTGAGCGTTTAGGAAATTTTCTGCCTCCAATTATAATTTCTGATTTGAGTCATGGAAGAAAACACCGTATCCTCTTTATTTCTGTAGTCACCGGCTAATGAAACGTGCCACGAGTATTTATAGAACTGCCATTGTAAATAGCATTTGCATTTGGTGCCTTGGAGTTATTTAGTGTGACAGTGCCTTCACCAAGAGGATTTTTTCATTTTGAAAGGGAAAGGTTCCCTTTGGAGTCATTCCTTCCTGCTGCCTTTGCTGTTTGCAGTGGATGCAGCAGTTCTGTGGACAGTTGCAGATAATTTAGTGACAAGATGACACACACGGGGACTAGCAGAGCGCAGTGCAGCAACCGTCTGAGATGCCACAGACAGTTTATAGAACGCTCCAAACCTATGTTTGGAGTTACAGCAAAGATGAATAGAGAGGAGGGAAGTCAGCAGAGTGGTTCGTGCAGCAGTGCAAAACAGCTGCCAGATGGTCTTTCTTAGGAAAACCGTCATGTAAATATTTGGGTAGGAGCCTCCAAACGATATTTAAAGTCTGTTGCTTGTGACAAAGGTAACTAAAACGTCTTTTCCTTGAGAAAAGCAGCCAAGATACAGAAGATCCCACAAGTAACCAGGAGAGATACTTGCTTTCTGTAGCACATTCACATGATCATGTTCATACATCAAAACTTGTCACTGACGTCCCTCAAAGTGTCTTGCAAAGGAGGGCAGAATCATTCTTCCAGGTGCAGAGTCATAGAATCATTGATGTTGGAAAAGATCACAAAGATCATGTAGTCCAATCCATGTCCGTAACCACATCTCTCAGTGCCACATCTATGTTTCTTGATCACCTCCAGGGACGGTGACTCCCCCACCTCCTTGGACAGCCTGTGCCAATGCCTCACCTCTTTTCTGAGAATAATTTTTTTCCTAATATCCAACCTGAACCACCTCTGGCACTTATCTCTTACCCACTTAAGGCCACTATCTCTTCTCCTATGGCTGCTACAGGGAGAAGAGGCCAACCACCACCTGTCTACAACTTCCTTTCCGGGAGCTGTAGAAAGCAATCAGGTCTTCCCAGATCCTACTCTTCTCCAAAAGCCAGGGTGCAGGTAAAGCATGATGCCCTGTATGTGATCAGCTCTCCTGAGCATCTACCACCTCATCTGTACAAATGGGTTTCTTCACATTTTCATGTGCCTCACAAGCACCATCTGTGTCTGTATGGTGTGGAGATGCGTTATCCTCAGCTTTCTAAAAGTGCTCATGTTCAGCTCTTCGAGCACTCTGGGATCATACTGCATGTACAGGCACTAGAAGAAGTGACAGTTTTCAGAATGTGACGTACTGAGAAGTTTAAGAAAACAAACAAAAAAGCTGTTGTGTGTTTTGCTGCATAATTCGCATCTGAATTCGCGATCAGTCTGGCCCACAAAGTGCACCTGGCCCCTCTTCCCATATGAAGAATGCTGCTCTCTGTCATATGGGTGAAATGTTAGCACTGAGTCTGTAGCACAGCCCCACCTCGTCAGAGGTGCAGGGAGTAAATGTGGATGCTACAGCCTGAACCCCATGTTGAACAGATGTCTGAATTTAACACTAGGGCATGGCTTCAGGTATGGAAAACCCAAGTGTAGGATGAAGCTGGGTCAGCTGTCCTGCCCAGTATGCATCTCTTTGGTTTGAGCATCATGGACATCAGGACTGTCAGGAAATATTAGGCACGTGAATTTTTACTTTCTGAAGTTAGACTAATGGCTTCTAACCTCCAGAGGGCAACTAGGGGCCTGTGCTGATGATACAGGAAACTAAGTCACTGAAGTCACAGTGAAAACTGGGACATGATCAGGAGAAAACTTCTCCCCTTCACATCAAGTGTCCTTTTCTACTATCAACCGCTCTGTCCAACTATTGCTTTTTCTATGCTAAGATTTTACTTTTCTGTGTTGAGGGGAAACCCACGCCTTTGTGCCTCATAGTTTTCAGCTTCCCCCATCTTTTTCAGGGTAACAATTTCAGGTGTGGAGAACCACAGTTCTCTCCTCGCAGAGTTCCATTATCCAAATTCTGTTGTTGCTCAGCTCATCTTTAGTGACCTCCTGGTCCCACAGTCCCATCCATAGGGCTCTGGTGTTGGCTTTCATTCTTGTTACACAGAGAAGCAGAAGGGATTCTTTGCCTTATTCCTCAGTCTCTCATTGCTGTGTAACAGATACCATAGAGAAGTGAAACTGCAAAGCATCAGAAGCACCATCTTCCACATGCATAGCCTGTACCAGTTCCTTCTTGCTATGCTGTAAAACATTCCACTTTGACAATCTAGCAGAGTTTGTATTGCTCTGATGAAGGTAAAAAGCATGTAGTGCGGGCTTCAAATGCCTGGCAGAATAATAAAACAGAGAGGAGGGGGGAGAGGGGTTAGGGTGAGTAGCCTGTAACACAAACCTTCAAACCACTAAGAGGCGTAGCAACAAAGTGACACTAAAGAATTAAAGTGTAGTATGCTCACAAGTGGTCTGAGTAGTACTGCCCTGAGTAGTATGCTCACGAGTGGCACAATCAAACTATAAAAACTACCATGGTCTTTGAGAGCCACCAAGGTTTTGCTGATGGACAGAGGTGCTGGGGGTGAGCTGATGTGAAAATAGCATGATTTCCCTAGCTCCACTCCTCTTTCCTCCCCCCATTTCTGTGAGTGATGCTCATGAATTTGCAATTTGTCTATCATCTGTGCTGCCTTTCAGTTTCACTACATTTGGATACTGCCAGCTACCAGCTGTTCGCATTTGGGATTTATGTAAGCAGCAGGATACGAAACTCTGGGTTGGAAAAGCATGGAATGTCTTTTTCTGAAATACTAAACATCACCTCAGTTAATTTTCCTTCTTGCTTCTTTTACGTTCTTTTTTTTTTTTTCTCACTTCCACTTTGTATAACTGATCTGGTGCTACATGCTAGTGCTGGACTGTGCTCCTGTCCCTGCCATCACGTGTCACTACCATGAGAAAATCACTGCTTTCTTTCTTGCCTTGGGTAAACACGTATTAAAACTTCAGTATTGATGCACACTCCCTATCTTGGGGATGTTGCAGATCTCTGACAGCAAGGGTGTGAGAGAGAGATGGAAGCAGAGTGCTCTGAGCTTTGTCCATAGCTGCACAACCACACTGAATGCTGCTTAATAAACAGTTTACAGAGAAAATCTCTTACCAAATAATATACCTTATGAGAAGAGGTATTTATCACATCTGAATTTTTGCTATAGGGAAGAGGCTGGGAACCTGGACAAGGACTGATCTGTCCTGACTCCAGGAGGTGGGGAGGTGGACATGGGACAGAACTGGTGAAGAGGACAGGAGTATCTAGCAGAGTCAACCAGCAGCATGAGAAGGTAGTGCTGGAGATGGGATTGTTTGACTGGAGAAGAGGAGGCTCAGGGGAGAAGTTATCACTCTCTACAACTGCCTGAAAGGAGGCTGTGGTGAAGGGGAAGCAGTGTCTTCTCTGAGGCAGCAGCAATAGGATGAGACAGAATGGCCTCAAGTTGCACCAGGGGAGGTCAGATTTGATATTAGGAAAAGCTTCCTCTCCAAAAGAGTTGTTGGACACTGGAGCAGGATGCCTAGTGAGGTGGTGGAATCACTGTTCCTGGAGGTGTTCAAAACACGTGGTACTGAGGGACATGGTTTAGTGGGCAATATTGGTGGTAGGTGGGCTGTTGGGTGATCCTGGTGGTCTTTTCCAACCTTAGTAAATCTATGATTCTATGGCTGAGGATGAAGATCTTGTGCATGGGCCATGACTGCCTAGGCTATGCATGTCTCCTCAGCTCACCCAACACTCAGGATGTCCTTTGGATGGAGTGTGGTGGATTACCAGGAGGCTGAGCAGCACAGCAGGGCCAAGGCATGTGTGTTTGCTTTGGTGCTGCCTGAACGCTGCCCAAATCATGCCGAGGAAGAGATTTCCTAGAGTGAAAGAGGCTTAGACTGCTCTTATCCCATTAGTGGGATTGTGTGTGTATGTAAGGGCTTTAAGGGCAGAGCCTGGAGCCGTGGCTGTGCAAAGCAAAGTTGTTCCTCTTCACAAGAGCTGAGAAAGGCCTTGGCTGACTGTAGAGGCGTTCCCTCAGGCAATAGCTCATTTACTTTTCACTACCTCAACCCACAGTACCTTGGAAGAAGCAACTTAATATACATAAAACTGTAATTGATGCCATCGTACATGTTAAGAGTTGGAATAAATCATACTGATATGTAAGCACCGGTGAACCAATATAATAATTAAAAACATAAAGCTGTTAAAGAGCATCTAAAGGAAGGCTACGAAGATGGGGAAGGGTCTGGAGGGCGAGGTGTGTGAGGAGCAGCTGAGCTCCCTGGGTTTCTCAGCACAGAGCAGAGGAGCTGAGGGGAGGCGTCACGGCGGCTGCAGCTCCTCCCAGGGAGCGGAGGGCAGCGCTGAGCTCTGCTCTGTGTGACGGCGACTGGGACCGAGGGAACGGCGTGGAGCTGCGCCAGGGGAGGGGCAAGGGGTGCTAGGGAAAGGTCTGCACCAGAGGGCGGTGGGCATGGAACAGCCGGCCCAGGGCAGCAGTCGCACAGCATGCCAAGATAGAAAGCCACACGCCCTGAGCCACGTGTCTCTTCTCTCCTGCAGATGACGGAGGGCCGCAGATGCCAAGTGCACCTCCTTGATGACAGGAAGCTGGAGCTCCTCGTCCAGGTAGGAACTGCACGTTTCTCCATCTCCAAATAGTCCAGGATAAAAAGGGAGAGGAAAAGGTTTTCATTTGGTTTTCTCAGCAACTTGATGCTGAGATTGCATGCAGAGCTGTATTTGTATCAGGGATAACATGCTTGTGGGAAGGGCTTTGTGCTAACAGTCCCAGTCCCCCCTGTTAGGACAGAAAAGCAGGTCAGGTCATTTTTGATGCTATTACTATATCACTTAGAGGAGCAAAATATTACATCTTCTTACGGTACCCCCAGCCTGGGTTTCCATCCCGTTACTTGCCACCAAACTTGGTGTATGATGCTCAGGATGCAGTGCTGGTGCCGTGGGCAGACATCACTGGAGATACTCCAACGGCTAAAAAATCAAACACAAGCATGCGTTAAAATGCATCTGTAAATTATCCTCCTATTTAAAAAAGTAACAATAGTAGAGAATGAAGGAGAATGAGATTCTGGTGCTGGCCATGGGCTCATGAATGTTGCCACATCCTGAGCCTTCCCGATAATTTTGGCTCACTCCTCAGAGGTCACCAACAGGTTAACAGCAAGAATGAGAAGAATGCCTTTCCTTTTTGCAAATGCTGCTGGGCAGCCCCAGAAGCAGGAAATGAAACTTCCCATGGCTGCAGAACCACGATGCAGCTGATAGCTGGGGGAGCAGGATCCCACCCGAGGAAATCTGAACAGGGATAGCTGGAGGTGCCATGAATCGCCGGAAGCATGTTCAGCCCCACTGCTGGAAAGTTGCTTAAAAACATCATTAACAAAATGCTAAGGGTGGTGAGGTCCTGAGTCCTTAATGACTGAAAAAATGGAATCCCACAGCTCCCTGAGACATGCGGTGTGCGCTGGGCTGTGCGGTCAGAGTGCACCCAGGTGCTAGCCATGAGCCATGGGCTGGAAGGGGAATAGCTCAATAATTAATTATAACTCATTAGTTAGAGTGAAATGCCATACCCATGGTATCCACTGAGTCTTCAGAACAGGAGAGACATGGACCTGTTGGACTGCATTTAGAGGAGAGCCACAGAATGATCCAAGGGACGGAACACCTTCCCCAACAGGACAGGCTGAGAGAGCGGGAGGTGTTCTGCTTGGAAAAGAGAGGGCTCCAGAGAGATCTGAGAACAGCCTTTCAGCATCTAAAAGGGAGCTACAGGAAAGAAGGAGACAGACTCTTTAGCAGGGTCTGTGATGACAGAACAATGGAAATGAAAAAATCTTTTACACTGAGGGTGGTGAGGCACTGGCACAGGTTGCTCAGAGATGTGGGACTTTCAAGGCCAGGCTGGATCAGACCCTGGGCAACCTGATCTGTGCTGTCCCTGTTCATTGCAGGGGAGTTGGACTAGATGGCTTTCAGAGGTCCCTTCCAGCTCAAAGGATTCTATGATTCTGTGGTGCCAAATTCTGCACAGTGAGCATTCCTGCACAAGCTTTCACCCACCTCACTGAGGCTTTGCAGATAGCTCAGGGGTTTCTGTCCAACTTTGTATTGCATCCATAGGCACAGCCATAAGCACATCCATTACAAGGATGTGGCAGGTGGCTTCCTGATTCATAGAGATGTCTCTGAAGTTTTTCTTAATTGCATGAGAATTGCATTGCTTTTTGGAGTATGGCTTTGCTAAAGCATTGCTTGCAATACCAATAATCATAGAATCACAGAATGGCTTAGGTTTGAAGGGACCTTAAAGATCACCCAGCTCCAACCCCTTGCCATGGGCTCAGTTCCCCCACCAGCTCAGGCTGCCCAGGGTCCCATCCAGCCTGGCTTTGAGCACCTCCAGGGATGGGGCACCCACAGCTACTCTGGGTAGCAATGCCAGTGCCTCACTGCCCTCTGAATACATTGCAGGAATCTATACAAGCTGCACTGCCCAATTTCTTGTTTGGGGCTATTCTCAATAGCACTGTGCATACAGGAAAGACACAATAGCTGCTCTGGTAATGAGAGTGGAGGAGGCTGGGTTGGGAAACACTGGAACTGCTCACGTGATGTATTTTTTTAAGCGTTTGATCACACCTTCAGTGGGAATTTCTAGTGATCAATATAGGACATGAATTGCTCTGTAAATCACACTAACTAGTCTGCAAGTGACCCATGGCTGAATTTTATTTGCGCAATAAATCTTTTTTGCTGCTCTCAAGTAATGTATGAATGAGGAAAGCCAGGAGGTGCGAGTGTGAAAAATTCATGTCCAGAAAATGCAGTCACCTCTGCTGCACACAGCTTGACCCAGCTCTGCAAACAGTGCCCTGCTATGTGTGCACAGGATTGCCCACTGAGGCATCTTAGGTGCTTTTCTGGATAAATGATGCTGTTAGAGCAGAGGCAGCTCACAGATACAGCAAATACAGCACTCTGGGGTAGAGCAGACTGCAGAGGAAAAGGATGTTTGGATTCGTGTCTCCAATACTGATTCTTTGCAAATATGGGCAAAACACTGGTGTTCCTGCAAAGCTGCCAGCTTTGGGGGGGGTCATAGGATGGTCTGCTCCAGGCAGCAGCACGGAGTGGGAAGTATTCAGCCATGAGAATGATGTGCTCTTTGCCAAGGAAAACCTCACCAGCTGATCTGTTCAGCTCAGAACTTGTGCTGAGATTGGAGATAAAAGTTTTGTAAGGTCTGAGCACCTTTGCTTTGGTTATCAACTTTTCTCATAGCTGTAAATACAATCTTCATCCAACTCAGAGCTTCTGGCTGCCACTTCAAAGCTGTGTTTATCTATGGATATCTCACCACAGGCTGATGAGGGATGATCTCTTGGCTTATGCCATGGAAGAGATTCTTCCATCACTGTGTTGGGCCTTAGTAATCTGTGTTGGCTTACATTGCTCATGAGGAGAGCTCTCAAATTTCCATGTAAAACATGTCCCTTCCAACCAACCTCAACCTTTCCTGGAAGCTTTTCGAAAGCAAATTTCATGCTGGTGTGGCATGTTTAAGGGAGACTGCTGGGAATCAGTTGAACTGATCTCTTCACTGTGGATGAGATTAAAATAACATCCTTACCTGGTTTGGGCTTTATGTAGCCTTGCAGCACTTGTGTGTGATCTCACATGCTCTAGTTACAGGAAGGTTGCAGATCCTGCTGCGTGAACAGAAATCTGTATTACAGGATGGCAAAAAACAGCAGAAGGAGCTGGGTCTGATGGAATGACTGAGATGGGTACAGCTCCCTCGAAGAGATGCGGGAGGGCTTCTGGCGCATCTTGAAAATGCTTCGGCCACTGGCTCCAGGGAGCTGAAATTATTTTCTGTGCTGCTGCCTGAGGGCTGTTGGGTAAAAACAGATGCATCTGGGAACAATCAGCATGTTTGCACAGAGCAGTGCATTAAGCAAATATACTCCTTTTTGCCTGCGAATTAGCTGCGATCAGACTCAGGGGGTTATGAATACAGCTCTTGAAACATATGACTGGATGGTTAACAAGGACCATACCTCAGTCTGCAGGAGGATGGCAAGTGGTAAATGATCCTGTGGTTGCTCGCAGGAGTCGGCCTTGGCTCCGTTTGACAGCTCCTCCAGACCACACTGAAACGTTTCAACACCGCAGATCCTCTTCCCAAACTACAAAGAGCTGGGAGGCCGGCCACACAGATGCTTCTGGTGGGACCCCCTCGGGCACATCTGTTTTATTTGCATTGCAGAGCCCCAAAAGTCAGCTTCTGGCTCAAAGGCAGCATTTATAAGCCCTGCTGCAAATGCTTGGGTGATGGCACATAGCACACAGGGCTTTGAGTTACCACCACCAGTGAAGCCATCCTTGCTTTAGGCAATCAAGTGGTCTGGACTACAGCTTTTTTCCCCCTAGACGGGTGGCTGCAGAGCAGTAGAGCAGCAGCTCAGGAAGGGTACAGACACAGGCTTGGAGGATAAAGGAGAGCTCTCTCCAGGGCATTTTGTCAGATAAATGCCGAAATTCAGAAGGTTTAGTCATAAACTCAGCAGAGGAGAATCATATGGAAATCTCTTCCTGAGGGTCTGAAACTCAAAGCCTGTTTGACTTAGGATTATGAAGAGTTGCATTTGGTATGTGTTTCATTTGATAAATGTCTGTTGATGATGTGTTGTGTGTGGCAAGTTTACATAAGACTTTTTTGACAGCATTTTCATTGTGAGCAGGAGCAGAACGTGGCTCCTCACATCTTTGTACAGGCAGTTCTTTTCCTATTGCTGTTTGATGCATCTTTAGATCTTTATGCAAGAGATTTTTTTAGAAAGTTTTGGCTTTATCCAGCTAATCCTTTTCAGCAAGCAAGTCCTCTTCCCTGCTCCTAGAAAATGGATTTTCTCACATCCCCTGCTCTCAGCCTTGCTATCCATTATATTATTTTCATGTGGTTGTGGGTCATTTGTCTGCTGCACGGGACAGGCTTGCACTGCTTTATTTAAAGAGTTTTGCATAATTGGCTCTTCATTCCTTTTCATCTTGATTTTTGTAAACATGTATTTTTCCGTGCTGGCCGAGTCCCACATCCTCACCACGTCTGTGCTGGCTGCTGGTGCGTTATCCATTTGCAGCTCCAGCCATCGGCATCCAAAAGTGCTAAGCCTCCTAATTTTTTCTCTCTGCAAGAGTTATTGCAGGAACAGAACTCATTCGTGGCTTGGAGCAGAGCTGTCTGTGGGGTCTGAAATTTGATCAGAGGAAATATTGTGAGTTTGATTTTTCCCTAAGAGCACTGAGCCCGACTTGGAAGGGCCAAGGAGAGGGATGTGGAAGTTATCACCACGCTACTCCATGGGTGTTTGGGTGGATAATCCACATGAAAGTCCATATTATCACTTCTTAAGTCATTATTAAGCTTGGAGTAAGCTTCCAAGTTTGGAGATGCTTCCAAGTCAGACCAAAAGCCAGTGAGTGGTGACAGCAGTGTGGGGGTTCTGGAGGAGATGCTCAGGCCAAGGAACCAGGAACCTTTGCTCCTCCACACTCAGCCTCACTCTCAGTCTTGGGGAATTATACAGCACCTTTTGAGA